CTTTTTGGAAAACTTAAGGGCTTTTATGACAATTTCCCAAAATCGTAGAAGCAACAACCATTGTTTTGACTGATAAAGCTGAAAGTTCACGTTCAAGAACAAGAAAAGTTGCTTTAAACAAAGATCGTGAAGCCAAACACGATCTTTCGTATAAGGCTACTTTGTCGAGAATGTCATATATTATGCTAACATGTTTAGACGACAGTTCCGCATGTGCAGATAACCATTCTTACATTTAGTTCATAATTTGGAGAAAAAATTCCATTTTTTTAGTTTAGCGGGAGATGTAGAAGGGGTTTATGTTGTCTTAATTAAGATTTAAGAATGATGTAATTTATATATTTCTTTTTATTATGTAATTTCTAAACTTTTTAGTTTAAATTAATGAATTTTTCATATTATTAATGTTGTATTTACTTTATTTTTATTTAGTAAGTTAGCTATTCTTAAATTAGTAACTATTATTTGTATTAAATAAAATAAATAATAGGTGAAAGATTAAAGATGTGTATATGAAGCACCCCTCGTATGATCTAAAATTTATTAGTATTTTTCTTTGAAAATATTTAAACTTTTTAAAACTTTGTTGTAGAATTAGGTTCCAAAAAACTATAATAAACCCACACCTAGCTTGCAAAAAGGAAACATGTTCTCATTGTCAAATTAGCTCATGTCTAGATTATAAAAAGAAAAACGTTTTCATTGTAAATATTGGACACCATACCAGTCTTAACCTTTTCCTAATACGAATACACATGTTGATGATAGAAATCAATTTAAAACAACAATTATATTTCTCCATACTTAAAACACTTTACAACACAAGTCCCATGTACCCACAAAGTTTATACATAGTATTACAAATAATAACACACATAATTTATCATGTAATGAGATGCTTTTTAAAATCACAAAAATATGATTAACGACATGTATTCATCGTATTTACCCACCTCCATTAAATGTAGAAAGATCGGAAGACTATACATTATGTTTTTTAGAATGGTTACACGCGTACACACTATTCTACTCCTAAAACTACACATTTTGTCTCCATCGAGACTTCAATCCTCAACCTTTTGGCTAATGGGCACCTATCCGTCACCTTCGGATACCGCCTTTTGATGACTATACTTTAAGTGAAGTTTAGATGTCTAGTCTAGCGGTCACCTAATTATGAACATTAATTAAGTAATTATTCAATAATTACCTCTATAATAATTATTCAATAATTAACTCTATACTACTTAGATTGAGATTATTAAACTATAATACGAGTCATTTTAACAAATAGAAAGAATATTACAAAAATTATAATCAGTGCATCATTTTCTTGGTTTGTAAATTTACTTTATAAAGATCGATTAAAATTTTGTAAAGACTAAAGAATATTTTTCAGGTCGTGCAATGTAACATCCCGATTTTCAAGACCAAAAATTTTCGTTTTAAATATAAATACTTATAAACCATTTACTGAAAAACAACATCATCATCATTTCAAGTCATCAAACCATAACCACATGTCTCAAAAATCATAACAGAAAGTAGTAATAATGTCAGAATACAAATCTCATGGATCTCAAAGTGCGGAATCATGTGTGTGCGATGCGCCGCTACCGGGCCGGCTCCTTCCCCTTTGACGAAGAGGTACCTGAAACCAAAACTGAAAACCGTAAGCACAAAGCTTAGTGAGTCCCCCCATCATACCACATACCATGCAACATACATACTGCAAGGCAATTCTGGGGTGTCCGACCTACCCATGTCAAGCTGTTCTGGGGTGCTTGACTTACCCTGGTCAAGCCATTCTGGGGTGCTTGACTTACCCGTCGGTTTATCACAACCGACTACTGGGGACTATTTCACCCCTACTACTACTAACACATATAATAGAGCATCATGACACATAAAGCATATCAGATAGTAGCAAACCTAGGTAATTATCACAAAGACAGTCATCTAGCAAACAACTCCTACTAATGGGCCGTCATTGTGGCCGTAGACCCTCTCCTACCGGAAGGTAACTCACCTCGATGTCGTGTAGTGTCTGCACAGTCCTCGGTACGGAAATCCACTCGTCTCAACTCCTCAATCCCTACACAACGACCTTTCTCGATTACTAATTCATACACACAACCCTCCATTACAAGGGTCAACTCAAGTCCAGGTCAAAGTCAAAGTCAAACCCTAGACAAAGTCAACTTTGGTCAAAGTCAACATTCAGTTGACTCGACTCGCCGAGTTGGTCCACCAACTCATCGAGTCCCTATCCTCACAAAATGCTACAACCCCCGACTCTACTCGTCGAGTCTAGCAAGAACTCGACGAGTTCTCCTTCAACCATTACATTGGGACCATCTTCAACCGACTCGCCGAGTTCATCCTTGAACTCGTCGAGTTCATCTTCATCCGTATGAATGTGTCCAGTCTATGAATCGCTGAGTTCTCCTTGAATTCGTCGAGTCCGTCTCCATGAGGTTGGGACATTGCCTTGAAATCGCCGAGTTTGTTCATCCACTCGCTGAGTTCCATGATTTCCAGGTCCCTAATGAGCCTAGATAACTGAGTGTTATTCTATCTTAGCATCTGGTCCATCAACAGAAAGGTTTTGATGGGAAGTACGACCCGACTCGCCGAGTCTCTCTTTGTCCAAAATTATACAGTCGATTTCAGCGTGTCTTAATGAATCCCAATCATAGATCTGACCTCCTTGGGTCCCTTTTATACGTAAAGCTATAACCTTGATGTCCATGCATGGGGTTTTTGACTCAAAAGGCTATGAAATGGGGTTTATGTGGTGCATGGGCTTCCCATGGCCATAAAGTTGGCACCTTTATGCCATGGGAACCCTCAAATGTTTCCAGATCTGGAGTGTAACTCCATGATACACACCCAATCCGAATATGGCCTTAAAAATGCCCAAAAATGATAAGATCTAACCCTAGAGAAGATCCATCAAATGAGAAGTCAAGGTTGAAGCTTTTTACCTTGAATGAGGTGGAAATGAAGCAAAACTTCTGGATCTACTAGCCTTCTCTTGATCTTCCAAACTTCCTTCTCTTCTTTAAACTTCAAACACGCCAAAAATGGAACCACAAAGCTCAAGAACACTCAATGAATGGTTAGGGTTTCGAGTTAGGGTCTTCTAGAAGTGAGAGGGACGATGAAGGCTGGCTTGGGACGAGTTAAGTTGTTTAAATAGGTTGCAAACCCTAAATATTAGGGTTTCATCCAGACAGCTTCTACTCGTCGATTCGGTCCCCCGACTCATCGAGTAGACCACCAAAACCCCCGCATAATGTCGAGTCTACTCGACGAGTTGGGCCTCCAACTCGCCGAGTCCCAGTGTAAAATACAAAATTACTTGAATTTAAACACGTACCAGAAACCGGATGCTACATGCAAACTCAACGGAGAATTCCTCCAATTGTGAACAATATGCATGGTCTAAATTTATTTGTAAGGTTGTGCAAAACGTGATGTAACTCCATTTCGAGCATATACTTAAAAAATGTTATCTAACTATTCCAACTTGACTTAGTATTCAATATCATTCCAAAAACTTGTTAAATACGCCATGTAACATCCAAAACAATCATTCAAGTTATGATTTACAAATTAGACATAAAGATCATAAGAATAAGTTTAATCCCCTCAACATGAGTTCATTTGATCGAAATCAATATCCAAACAACTATTAAATGCATTTAGATTCTTTAGAATTTATTTTCATGCAATGATATCACGAATTGAGATTCCAATTGCTCAATTCTAACCAAACACTAAAGCTAAGTTCAAAACCATCTCTAGAACTCATGATCTCTGTATAAACTTCAAATCACAACTAATGACCCATTTATTTAAGTTTATAAAACAATTTTTTACAATAGATTAATCATTAAATCATTATAAATAACTTCAAAATATTACTCCATCAAACTAGGGTTCATGAATCCCTAAATTCACCATTGAAGGTGGAATCAACCATTTCAATGGTGGAATGATGATTCCCTAATGATCTAATGCTTGAATCTAGACTTAAAACTTATCTAAATCTTTCTAATGAATAAGAATCTCCGATGTGGAAAAATCCACAAACCTTAACTTGAGTTCTAGATGAAGAACAAGAGAAATTATTATTGGAATATAGTGATTTTTAAAATCACAAAAAAAACGCAACGGAAGCAAATTAAACTCCATAATCCAAGAGGATCGCAAGTTCATCAATTCAATGCAACGAAACTAAAACCTAGAAAGTTAAGATCAATATAATAGATTTCTTGTGTTGATTGATTCCTCGTGGTTTCTCCTTGGATTATTTGAGATCCCAACCCAAAACTCATGTCTTAGGAGAGAGAGAGAGAGAGAGAGAGAGAGAGAGAGAGAGAGAGAGAGAGAGAGAGAGAGAGAGAGAGAGAGAGAGAGAGAGAGAGAGAGAGAGAGAGAGTTTGTGTGTGCGCGCGGGCGGGGGCGCCTCTTTCCTCTATCGTGAAAATATGTTTCAAAATAGGTAGGGCCACTATGAAAATACCCATTACAAAATGGGTGGGCATATTGCCAAAATATACCCCAACATGTCCTTAATATTCTTTATCTAAGGTTAAGTTTCCAGGCAACAAAAAAACAAATTTCAAAGGAATTTTAATCACCAAAAAGTATAATGACCTTTTTTCGTAGTTCTTTGTGATGGAGGGTTATGGCAGATGATCAATGACGAAACCAAATATATCAAGCTAAAGGTTTGGAATTATGGTTTATTTAAAAAATCTCCTTATATGGTCAAGAATCCTCTTCACCATATTAGGGTTTCATTGAACAACCTCTTGATCCTCGTCAGCCAGATATTTGTTGGAGTTACTTCAATTGAAGAACCATACGTTTACAACTTCACATAAAAATAAAAAATAAAAATCGGTTGATCAGCTTTAAACTTTTAGACTAAATTATCTAGGAGTCAACCAATTTAACCAATATACAAATGCAACAAGAACACTACACCTTCAATCGGCATTGTTGTTGTTCTTCCTCCTTGATTTAGATTTTCCGACCAATTTGGAAGGCGGCGATGGTGAAAACTCAAACGGAACCACCGGGAGATCCATTTCCCCTTTCAAAATCTTCACAATATCCCCAATATCCGGCCTCAACTCCGGCATCTTCTGTAAACAAGCTAGAGCCAAATTCACACACAAAATCGCCTGCACCTTATTATAAAATTCACCCTCTTTCAATCTCTCATCCACTAATTCCAACAAATCACCACCTTGAGCCAATTGTCGACACCAACTTATCAAATTCGCCTTCTCAAGCTTCATTGGTGATGATAGAACATGTAATGGTCTTCGACCAGAAACAATCACCAGAATCAGTACTCCAAAACTGTAAATATCGGTTTTCTCCATTAAATAACCGCAACCACCGTATTCTGGTGCTACGTAACAAAGTGTCCCTCGCATGCTTGTTGTGCTGCTGAGTTCGCGGCTGAAGAGATCTTCGCTGTTCTTCTTTGAGTTCTTCCTGAAACTGAACTCTGTGTTTGGATCGATCTCGTTTTCGTGATTATGACGGTTTGTTTTTCGTTTTTTTCGGAAGATCGAGAGCTTCAATTTTCGTTTCATCTTCTTCTTCTTCTCGACTTTCTTATTGCTGAGTTCGTCGAGGTGTTCTTCTTTCCACCATTCTTGCATTTTCCGGTGTCGTTTCCAGCCACTCTGTTCTTCGTTTTCTGGTTTGTTTTCGTTGTCGTTGGAATCCTTTAATTCAAAGTTCTTATCATCATCCCAATCTGGATTGGCCGATGGACAGGTTTGACTTCCGATCCATTCTCGGACGTAGTCCTTGCTGCAAAGCTCACCGCTGCCCTCTTGTTTCCACCACCAATCTTTCCCCCATTGTTTCTTGCCATTTTTGCGATCGTCGGAGGGATTCATATTGGATTCTCCAATGTGATTATTATCGAAATTAAGACCTAAATCGTCATCATAATTCGTGAATTTATTGTTAATCCAATCATCACCACCACCGTTTTCAATGTCCTTTCCTTTATCGTTTGTGAAGCCAAATTTTGGATTATTACACACAACCTTATTATTGGTCGGCGTCGAAGAGGAGGAAGCTTGTAGAGCAAGAGCGAAATCTACCTCATTAGCGGTACTACTATCGACTGGAGTTCCAATCGCCGGAGACTCTCCGACGCCACCGCCAGCTAAAGTTCCTGATAGATCCTGACTGAACAAATCCACACCGAATTCCGGCTCGATCTTCAATTTCGACAAGCCGAAATCGGCGAGTTTTGCACGGAACTCAGTGTCGAGTAAAACGTTGCTAGGCTTCACGTCTCCGTGAATCACCGGCGGATCACATTCCCGGTGTAAGAACTCAAGTGCTCTAGCAACATCTAGGATGATATCGAATCTTCTCTCCCAATTCAAGCTACGATCGGAGAAAAGAGATTCCTGTAAGCTCCGATTCGGCATGTACTCATAAACCACCAATCGCTTCCTCTTATCAAAGCAATACCCTAACAATGAAACGATAAACTGCGACTCTAATCCACCGAGGATTCGAAGCTCGGTTTGGAACTCACGTTCGGCGTCTAACGACTCCGAATCAAGCATCTTCACAGCAACGAGTTTTCCATTTCTGAGTATACCACGGTACACTGTACCTGAACCGCCTTTTCCGATATAATTATCATCGGAGAAGCCATTGGTGGCGGAGTGGAGCTCTTTGTAGCTGTAACGACGTAGTTTCAAAAATTCTGGACACGAATCAAGCGGACTAGTACGAGTCCGATGAATCAACGTATACCACAGGTAGTAAAGCAAGTAAAGAACTCCAATAAGTATAAGAATTGATGAAAAAGCAGTGATTACGAGGAAGATGATGGTAGCTCTGTGTTTTGTGGGCTGTTGATGTGGGAACGAAGAAGGTTGTCTTGAAGGCATTGTGTTTGTTGATCTCCCCAATTATCCACTCCAGAAAGAAGTTAAAAACAGGTATACAAGGACAAATAGAGGATCTAGGGTTCTATAGTGTTATGAATCCGCCATGGGAATTGGGAGCTGATGCTTGACTCAGTATCCGAGGGAGGTTAAGCTTTACAGTTGGAATAATCATAATCATGAATCATGGAAAATTACCAATTTTCGTATTGATTGGTCTTTGAAAGAATTTTCAAATCTGTTGTTAATGATGGAGATTTTGGATTGAGAATTTGTTTGTTTGGTGGGGAGATTAAGAGGGGACCCATGAGGCAGTGTAGCTTTTGACTAAAGAGAAAGAATTTGCAGGTAAGGAGAACGACTTTTTGGGGAGAGATGAAGGAAAATGGAGGGAAGTCGGGAACACACTTACAGGTGGATGGCAGGTTTGTAGTTAATTTATGCTCAAATAAAAATTTATACAATATATTTAAATATAAATATTCTTGGAAAAAATAGCAAAACAATATAAAATAATATAATACTTCAATTTATTTTATAACGCAATCAAAAACCAAAAAATTAAAATAATAGAATATTAGGGTTGTATTTAGTGTATATATTTGTTGTAATTTTTTAAATTATTACAATAATATAATATTATGTGAGACTATTAAAATAGTTTTTAAGATAGACTATAATAAAATGCTCTTATTTTAATTATCATCTATCCTTGTCCAAGCACATGTCGGACGACTTGTGCGAAAATCAAAATGAGGCCTCATAATTTTTTTTGTACGGTATTATTAAGTAAATTGGCTATCAGGCTAAACGGCGTGGAGAGATTTATGTCGATGGTAATTCTACATGAAAGGTGTTGCCGGCGGTAAACACCACACCGTAATCACATTTTTACCAGTGGTAATAAACCGCAGGTATGTTTCCACCGTTTTGTTTAGGCTACTAGGAGTGGGCAACGCCCACTCCCGTTATTGTGCTTAGTAACGGCTAATAACGCCAATGAACACCGTCCCCATCTACAGTTATTGCGTGTTAAAGGTATTCCCGTTGCTTCCCGTTACCACCACAATATTTGGTAACAGCGTTTCCTTTTTTTTTTTTTTTTTTTTGCTAATAACGCCTGTGGGCGTTGCCGACTCCTATCACTCTAAACCGATCAAATAGAAGATATGACATTTGTTACCCATCGCTTAGCTTCCATCGTTGAGTTATTGGAAACAAATATATATATATATATATATATATATATATATATATATATATATATATATATATTGATTAATATGGTGATTTGTTTTTTTCTCTATGAATTGTTTAATCAATATAAAAAGAGTAAATGTTATCTGCGTATCTTTATTTCAACTACCTTATTTACTAACCTAAATACCAAAATAAACGTAATTTATTGAAAAAGGATAGCGATTAAAAACTATAACAAATCTATGTATTTTAAAAGTTTTTGTTTATGTAATTTTCAAATGTAACTTATATATTTATTTTTAAATGCCATGACAACCTTTTATATAAAGTTTTAAATTAATTGTTATCGTAAATAAAAAATTGAAAAGTTTGGATTTATATTATTCAATATATAAAAAAGAAAAGAAAAAAATAGTAGGTAAGAACATCACCACACCACACTCATAGGTAAACTGTGGCAAAAATTATAAAAGCTTACGTGGTGCCTATGTGAAACATTTTTTTCATAGGTAAAAACATTACGACACCATTTAGCCTTACTAAATTCAAAACTCAAAGTTACTATCAAACATCTTGTAAATTCATGACTAGAACATATGTATCCACTCATTAGATGTTCTAGTTTCTAGGATCATACGTGTTCATTGGAGTATCTTCTTTGTCATCATCATTATCATTCAAGGCGGTTATGTCTTCATCCACACAAGGCATATCTTCTGACACTTACAGTTCAAATTCTTCTTCTATAGGTTCTTCCACAACATCATGAACTTATTCTCTAAGTTTTTTCACAACTTCATGAACTTCATCCATGTTTTCTAGCACATGTAATTCAACTTTTTATTCTCTATGTTCTTACGTAATTGATTCACAGTTTAATAGAATACATTCACAACTCATTTATAAGTATAATCTTATATTTCAGTGTATTAAACAACTCATTCACAGTTTAATACATACATAATTATGGCATATTTCAGAAACAAACATAAAAAAAACATATACATGAATCATAAAAGACGATAACTTATCTGAAATTAATGAAGAAGATGAGAGAAATATATAATGTCCTTACTCTACCATCACTACCAACATCAACACTGCTAACTACCATATTTTGCCAACATCCTTCCTTCAGAACTCATATCTGGATAAAAAAAAATCAAAATTTACACTTTAGTTCAACATTTCAGATACTAATTCACAGCTTAATTCAACATTTTAGACACTAAATCACAACTTAGTGATTAAAAAAACATATTCACAGCTTAATAACTTACATATTCACAAATCAACACATAAAAAACACATATTCACAGCTTAATAACTTACCGAATTTCGTTGAGGTATTTCATCAAACACTTTATGTGCACCACATACCTCAGATCGCATAAAACATCAGATTTGGACAGAACAATAAGAGTTTCATCATCTTTGACATCAGGCGACGTTTTTTTGGCTCTCCGATGAGGTCCGACTGTGGAGGTCTGATGGTTCATCGGATCAAAACAGAGAAAAAATGGATGCAATCGTAGATCTGGAGAAAAAATGGTTCACCAGATCTTGAGATGAAAAACAACAAACATTTTCCAGAGATCTGAGATAAAGAACACAAAACCAGATGTATAACTTGAAGAACACTAAATCAGATCTCGTAGTAACTCCTTCAATCTCGTCATAAGTGGTGGTTAGCCAAATCTAACATAAAAATGCACAAACACATCAGATCTGGTGAGATCTGATGCAAATATGGTGACATCTAACGCAGATCTGGTGAAATCTTATGCAGATCTGGTGAGATCTGATGTAAATCTGGTGGTTCATCTGAGTGAAAGAGAGGAACACATGGATACGATCATAGATTTGGTAAAGTAAAGGCAGAGGATGATGAAGGTGAAGTCGTTAGAGAATGTAACGTCGGAGTTGATGCGGTTGTAGATCGGAGTAAGGCAGGTGAACATCAGTGCGGGATGGAGGAGAGGGCAGTGCCATATCTAACCTCAATATACACAACACATCAGATTTGGTGAAATTTGATGCAAACCTGATGGTTTACGGGAGCAAAACAGATAAAAAAATGGATGTAGTCGTAGATTTGGAGAAGTGGAGGCGAGGATGAAATAAACACGTCGATCTTTTGGTGGTGTTCCGCCTTCCTGCGGTGCTGCTGTTGGCGGAAGTTGGTGGTGGTGGTGCCACCGGCGGTAGTTGGTGGTGGTGGTGATCTTTGGGTTTGTGTTCTTCACAAATGGTGGGAGAGTTTTTGAAAGAGTTTGAAATATTGTAAGTTAGATCTGATTGTAAAAATGAAATGTATGTATGTTTTATACCATTAAGTTAAATTTAAAAAAACACTCTTAATGAAAATGGTTCTTAACTTTTATTTGTTCTCATTTGATCTTTTATATATATATATATATATATATATATATATATATATAGGAGTAGGATCAAATGAGAACACCTAAAAGGTTGAGAACGCGAGAACAGATCTGGATCATCTAATTTTTAAGATGTGTGGCTATAATTAATTGTTATTTTTCTAATTATTAATACCTTTAAAATTTAAATTTCAAATTAAAGAAAATTATAAAGGGTATTCAGGTAAATAAACATTACCCTAATTTTGTAAACTCCTATAATTACTCCCTGCCTCTCTATTTCGTTGACCTAATTTCATACAGCATACAATCGACACCTTCATCACACAGCCGAATCACACAGCCGATCCCAACTACTTCCGTTTTCCTTTTCCCTTGCTCGACAGATGAACCATCCACATCGAACGATGATGCTTCCTGATTTCACCCCAAATGTCGATTTTTTGTTGTTTGCTCCTTCCCCCATTTATGCGTTGCTGATGACGACGATTAAGCCACAAGGGTCGTCGGAGAATCGACGCCCTTCCTTCCCCTCTTCCCTCTGTCTCTTCAACCTCTTCGAACCCCGGAGACGATCGCAATTGGACACAACATCCTGAATATCGGACAGCACACCTTCGATGCGAGCCTTTCTTCCCTTCCTGTCGCCCTATTGATGTCGTCGCTGGTGAGCCTTCACACTCTCTGCCCCTTTGACTTCCACCATCGCCAATTCCATCGAAGGCCAAGAGACCACCTCGATTTCTCGTAAGCCCCAGGACTTGCAATCCCGATTCAGGGCTTGAAGAATGACTACAAAAATCACGATTGGTAATTGCAATCATGAAGGGGGGTGCGTGTTTGGCGATGCAAGAAGAGGGGGAAATTTTGACAGGATTTCGTATGAAATTGAAGCTATAAATCAACAATTGGTAAGTTTTGATTCTTCCTTCTATTGTGTTCGTAGGTCAAATTCTAGCAATCTGATATCCTTCACTACAGTGGTGAATAAATTCAATCAACATAGTCAGTTGTGTTCGTTATAATCACTTATGATTATAAACATGGTTGTATCAAATTTGGTGGAATTATCACAGCTTAAAACAATTAGGATCTCCATGGGAATTAGCTTGAATTTTGTGTTCATTCTCCAATTGGGATCTTGTATGAAGATGAAACTTGGAAGACCTCTTTGAAATCAATCCATCATGTTTGGCTGCTTATTTACAGATTTAATTGCATTTGGTGTCATGAGCAGTTCTTCTTGCTAATCTGATAACTGTTGGACTCGAAGTACTTTTCTTTTACACTCAGTAAGTTGTTACAAGTCACAAACCCTTTATGTTTCATAGTTAATACTTAATACACAAGCCATTGATTATATTAACATATTCCTTTTTGTGATGTTTCTGACAAACAGGTGGACATTTACTTTGGTGACTTTATGTTTTGGGTAATGAAGTTTTTAATAATCATAACTAGAAGAGGGTAAGCCCTCTCGGTCGAGTTTTCTTGTTATTGCCACGTTGTTGATACTTTTTGATACACTAATTATCTACCTTCCCATATGCTTTAATGATTCAATCACATTCTATTTTTCTCAATTTTGATGATGGCGGACATGTCATCGTCAATTGTGTTCGTTATAATCACTTATGATTATAAACATGGTTGTACATATGATTAAAAGACGCTGTAATAATCATTTATGATTATAACTACGTATTTTTTTCTACTAATCATTCATGTTAATATTATGTTGGTCTTTTTATTGTCTTTACATGTTATTGTCATTTTTGTAGATATTAATCAAAGAAGAAGGAATGCTAGAATTTTTTAGATATCGTGTCTGCTCCTGCTCGTTACACAAGCTCGCAAGCCATTTGATTCAAAGAGAAGGAAGGGGTTGTGACCAATTCAAGAAAATGGCTGATATAGGGATGAATTTTGCAAAAAAAAAATCATTTGAAGCGGTTTAATCATTGTTGAATATAATTATGTATAAATGTATGAAACTAGTCTTGGTATATATTATTTTATGAATATAAATATATAATTGTATAAACTCAATCTTTGAAAATTTTATTTTATGAATATAATTTTTAATGTGTTGATTTTTTTTATTTGTTAGCATATTCATGTATGATTACTAGTTTATTTTTATTCATTTATAAATGTTATCTCTAAATTATGATTTATTATTTAGGATTACAAATATATATTTTTATAATTACAAATGTTTTATTCATATATGATTGAAAATATTTTGATGAATATTAAATTAGAAAAAAAATGAATTTTTATTTGACAAAAAAAAATAATATAAATTATCTTTATCATCCATTAATAAAAGAAATAAAAAAATCAGTTCATATTTTATTTTAGGTAGATAATCATTATCGCTAAATTTTAGGAAATTAAGATTTGAATTTAATTTGTTTTAATTTAAAATAAATACAAAATGACTAATATACCCTTATAATATGATTGGTCCAGAAGTGTTCTCGCGTTCTCAACCTTTTTGGTGTTGTCATTTGATCATTTCCCTATATATATATATATATATATATATATATATATATATATATATATATATATATATATATATATAAACCAAAATTGATTTCCCAAGATCTAAACTAAGTAGATATATGACTTTATATTAATTTAGAAAAAAACAACATGAATTATGCAGATTTTAGTTTGAGAAAAAAATGGTTTACACAACAATGATTAAATATTTGAATCTTAATTTGAACTATTAATTATGATTAAATATGTTAATATTAATTGGAACCTTACTAAAATATAGTTAGCTATTAATTTTCTTTAATAAAGACAAGTAAAAATGTATTTTTATGAGAGTAAAATCGGCGATTAATCGCTAATCGGACCTCCACCGATGAAATTTATTGTTAATCGGTCACTATAATCGGATTTGGTCAATACAGGTCAAAGTCGGAATTAATCGGACCTAATCGGGCTTAATCAGACTTTAATCGGACCAAATCGGGTTTGGTCAACGCAGGTCAAAGTCGGACCTAATCACCGATTGATCACTTTTTTGTAGGATTAAAATTAGATTTATAAATTTTTGAATAATTTTCTTAATAATTGATGGTCTCTGATTAATCTCCCGATTAAATCCCATCTAGCCGATTAATCCCTAATCGTTAGTCCACCGATTAGCGGCCGATTAGCGATTTCTACAACCATGATATATATATATATATATATATATATATATATATATATATATATATATACTCTTATAAATAAAGGTTTTTTTGCTACATGTGACACTCTCATTCAATTTGTCAAATGTCATTTTATGGTTATTTTGAATTAATTTCTTTTCCACATGTCATTTTATGGGTTTTCTATTTTGATAAATTCCACATAATACTTTAATGTTATAATTACAATAAATGTAGTAATAAATGAAATATCAATTTCATTAATGGACTTACCTTCTTACTTCAAAATTTACAAATTAAAGCTCATTAGTTTATTTTGTTTATTTATTTAAATTTAAAAGATAAAAAAATCAATTTTAATAATTCATTATTTTTCTTATTTTCTTATAAATCCAAAGTTCTTAAATATTTAGACCTTTATATATATATATATATATATATATATATATATATATATATATATATATATATATATATTAATTAACCAATGTAACATATGAATGTTATACCTAGTTTAGAACAAAACAATATGAATTATGCCGATTTCAGTTTGAAAAAAAATGGTTTACACAATAATGATTAAATATGTAAACTATTAATTATGATTAAATATGTGAATATTAATTGGAACCTTACTAAAATAGTGGTATAGTAAAAGAAATCTTAATTTGAAGAACATAGCAAAAAGTCAATAACTTTTGCAATATATTGATATATTTATAAAAACAATATATATTTAATGTTTTAATTTATTATTAATGATTAAATATGTGAATCTTAATTTGAACCTTATCAAAATGATAACATTTGCAATATATTGATATATTTATACAAAAGTTTTAGATTTATCAATAATGATTAAATATATAAATCTTAATTTGAACCTTATCAAAAAGATAACATTCAATCCTCCTCAAATAAGTAAATAAAAAGACATTTACCAAAATATCAACATTCTTTATAGCGGAACATTTTGCAACGTATGAACATTTAAGTGATGTTTGTTTTCTTCAAGCAAATATTAATGAAGTTGGTGGACCTCTTTACAACCCTTTGCAACAGAAGAGGTGGACCAAACGGTTGTAGAATGTAATAAGAATCGTGCTTGTTTTTTAACATCTGGATGCTGCTGCAGATATTAAAAAAATTAAATAAATTGATTTTATATAATGAAAATAGTTTTTTAATACTGAAAATTTAATAATGTATGACATTTTAACAAGAATTTATGATATTTTTTGCAAAAAAATAATAATATTTCAACAAAAAATAATGATATTTCAGCAATAAATTATTATTATTCAATATTAAAAAACAGAAAAAAAAACCATTTAGCAAGAATAAACAAAAAAAAGGAAAAAAAAATGTGAAACAATAATTCATCAAGATGTCAATAACATATAATCAAGATTTCAACAAGAAAAAAAGAAGAAGACGTTGGAAGAAGCAATATAAGTGCCGACCAAACAGAACACGCGCAAAAGTTTTTTACTCTGAAGACTTCTAAAAAAACAAACAACTGCGAGATGAAAAGTGTTGAACATGTACTGCTTCGTACAACAATAAGAGATATGAAAATGTTTTTTTACAAAAAAACAAACAGCACCTTAGTGTTAGGACTGTTAAATGATTCATATGTTGCTAAATGTTCCATTAGAGAAAATTGTATTTGTAAATTTTGCGTTTAGCAACCATTAATTAATGTTATTAAATGTTCCATGATTCATAATAATAATAATAATAATAATAATAATAATAATAATAATAATAATAATAAGACATTTAGGACTGTTAAATGATTCATATTTTTTTTGGAACCGGTCAATGAGATATATTAATAGAAGGAGAAAAAAGCAGCCACAGTCAGTGGCATACACAAGTTCAGTTCAAACACAGAAGCAAAATAAAACAGGTAAATTAAAGCATAACGAAGAATATTCAAAAAAACAAAGGGCATTGAGACCATGATGCCCAATTCAGCCTGTCAAAATTTCCCCTGTTTTTCACCCAAAGATAAGCCACTGATTTAATGATATCAATGACTTTATCCGGTGGTAGCCGGTTTTTCTTGAAGACCTTTTCGTTCCTTGATTTCCAAATACTCCATAATGTTCCATAATAGATAGCTAAGATTATCTTTCTCCTCTTTTTGCACATCCCCCATCGAGAGATGGAATCCAGTACATCCTTTACCGTGTGGAGTGGTACCAATTGTGTATTACACCATCTTGATACCCCTTCCAAGACACTCCTAGCATAAGTGCAATCCACCAGGACATGATCAGAACCTTCTTCAGATTCGTTGCACATGGGGCAAGTCAAAACTTCCAAAAGTACCCCTCTCTTTGCTAGCTCCGAAGTGACTGATATCCTTCCCATTTTCGCCCTCCAAATAAAACAATTGACTTTCAATGGGACTTCCTTAAGCCAACAGGATTGGCCATCGGTGACAGGGGGCTTGTAATCCCATCTTTGTCTAAGATCACGGACCATGTATGTTCCCGTCGAGGTAAGTCCACATCTCCAAGTTACCCCATTAGCTGTGGGTTGTTTAGATATCACAGAACTGACAGGAATACCTTTTTTTTACAAGGGCCTTTCTTATGCCAGCAATGTAATTCCACACTCCAGTTAATGTTTTCTTTGAG